TAGATCCAACATAGCTCTATGTCCTCCCTTCTGCTGTTATTTTCAATGCCAATAATATTTATGTATAGTATGCTCATCAGCACAGAGTTATAATTGTTATTTTATGCAGTTATCTCTTAAATCAATTAGAAAAATGTTACAATTAAAACCACATTTACATTATCTTTTATATTTAGATATGTAGTTATCTTTACTGGTGTCATTTCTTCCTACGATTTTAGTTACTATGCATTTTCTATTCAGCTTAAAGGACTATTTTTTTTATAAAGATTTATTTATTTGTGCATACAGAACTGGGGTAAAGGCCAGAGGCTCAGGGGCGGTGTGAGGCTTCACCAGACACAGAGTGGGGAACAGAACAGGCAGACTGATGAAGTACACTGCTGAGGGGAGCAGCGGGCGGGTCAGGAGAGGTTTACCGCGCCATGTGGTCACCTCCCGGGCACGCAGGAATTGAACTCATGTGGAAGCGGTTTTAGATTCTTTCTCAGTGCAGTGCTTTAACCCGCTGCGCCACCAGGAAGGGCCAAAGGACTACTTTTTATACTTTTTGTGGTGAAGATTTGTTATAGCACATTTTCCCCATTTATTTAAACTGGGAATATATTAATTTATCCTTTATTTTTGAGGCATGGTTTTACTGGATATGGAATTCTTGGCATACTTTTATCTATTTCATTATTTTACACAATAATGTAAATATTATTATTACATCATTATTATTATTACATCATTATCCCATTGCCTTCTGGCCTCCATGGTTTCTGATGAGAAACCTGCTGTTAATCTTACTGAAGATTTCTTTTCATCAGAATTGCTTCTCACTTTCTGTTTGTAAGATATCCTCCATATCTATTGCTTTTGACAGTCTTATTATGATATATATACAACTTACACTACTTGAGAGTTTGAGGAGCTTCTTGGATGTGAGACTTTATGTTTTTCATCAGATTAGAGAAATTTTTTTGCCATTATTTCTTTAAATGTTTCTCTCCTCTGGTGCCCAATTATTTGTATGTTGGTGTGCTTGATGGTTATTATTCCACAGAACTATGACATTATGTTAACTGTGTTGTATATTTTTTCTTTTTGTACTTCTGACCTATCCTCAAGCCTGCCAACTCCCTTATTGTCTCCTCAAAGCTAGTATTGAGTTCCTCCAGTGAAATTTTCACCTTGGTTATTGTAGTTTTCAACTACAAAACTTCCACTTTGGTCTCTCTTTTTAATAATTTGTCTTTTCACTAATATTTTCTATTTGTTGATTCTGATACTTTGTTTCTTTGACAGGATTTTATTTTTGTTTCATTGAACAGATTTTACACAGTAGACTTAAACTCTTTCTAATAAATTGAACATCTGAGTTCTCTCAGGAACAATTTGTATTGATTACTTTTCTCCTCACATATGGGCACATTGTATGTTTTCTTTGCATGTTTTATAATTTTTAAAAGTTGTACATTTTAAGTAACATGACAAATCTAAAAATGAGAATCTCCCTACTTGCAAGGTTTTGTTGTTACCATTCTTGATTTTTGTTCTCATTTGCTTGTTTTGTGACATTTTGGAACTGATATCGCATAGTCTACATTCTTTCTTGTGTGTCTCCTTGGTTAGCTTAGGCTTTGCTCACTGGCTGTGTGTGCACATTAGGGCAGACCATCAACACTCATAGAGTTGACAACTCTGCCTTAGCATTTAATTTCTGATTGTACAGTCTGAATGTAGGCCAGAGTTGAGAATCTTTTCATTTCTTTCCTAAGCATGGGCACAGTCATACACATGTGCTTAACTTTCTTGACTCTCACAAATATGTTGTAGCTTTTCAGACATCTCATTTTCCAGCCTTTTTTTTTTTTAATTCTCCCAATGGTTATCTCCTGCCTTAGGCAGCTATGAAATTAAACAACAGTCTCTAGAAATTTTCAGCAAATGCCCCCAGGGAAAAGTTTTTGCAGTGGTAATCTTCAAGTCAGGCCTAAAAAAGACAAGCTTTCCAAACATGGCCTTCTCGGGAACTACCAGACAGGTCACATAAGGATAATTTTCTGGGCATGAGGCTTTGAAGGAGTTCCATTACTGTTCTGCCTCCTCTAGTGAATGCCAGGACGCTGGTTTTCACCAATTATGAAATGTTTGCTTTCAAGGATACTGTAGAGCTAGAGGGGGGACGGTGCCCAATGGGGCAAGTTAAAATGCCAGAGCTTAATGTTCTTACTAAGAATCCAATGTTTTACTGAAATTCTTTCCTGGTAGATAATTTTCAGAATTTTAAAAAAGTTGATTCTGAAATTTTTTGCCAGTTTTTTGATCCTTGCTTTTACAGAGATGACAGCAGTCAAAGGTCCTTACTTTTCCAATTTTGCTGACATCATCTCCTACCTGGAACTTTTAGAATGAGATATTCATGAAGGAAACTAAGCAAACTGGAACCCACTTTTAAAGGGCAACTTTAAAATATTCCAAAGTAAAACCTGTCATTTTTGAACTTCTAAAATTTAACCATAAAGAATTAAGTCCTTTCAAGAATCAGAAATTAGGCAATTCAGTTTAAGTTCTATTAATAAATATCTTCTTATATCAATTTCAATGAACTAATTATATATCTATTTAAAAATAAATGTCAAATTTAATCAGTAGCTCAGAGAAGTAAGATATAAAATGTACATTAGTTGAAAGTGTAAGGTAATAATAAAGGAACTTCAGTAATGAATACTATGTAAGTATGAAACTATGCTCCAATAAGAAGTAATACTCTAATATAAATCCAATTTTCATAGAAAAGAAACTTTTTATTCATCTCATATACACAAGCATTAATTTCACCTTTTATACATAAGAAATTAGAGATTCTGAATCATCTAAGAATAATATACCATTTTAAGGAATCTAATAAAAGCTGTGGATTCTCTAGGAAAATGAACATGAGTACATAATTTTGTTTATATTTGAAGGGGTTATTGTACACTCCATAACCTGTAAGCGAAGAACCCCTGCTGAACAAAGAAATAATGGGACAAGCAGAGAACAGATATTAAAATAATCATAATATATATAATGTTAAATTAAACAACTATCAACATGAGCAATAATGGGCATGGGGACTCCACTGCAAAAAAGTAAAAGTAAAAGGTGCAGGGGTGGAAATGAAATTTTAATTGTTTTTTGCTCAGTGTTGTCATTGTACTGAAAAAGAAAACTATATTGTGATATATAAATATAATGAACCAACGAACTGCACATTTTCATTTGAATACAATCAAACTCTGATCAAAACTTGATGAAGTCATGTGTAATACATAGAATTCAACTATGCTATTATTTAATATCTATAGGATATAACCCGACAGTATAGGATCAATGGAATGGCCTGGCCTTACCTTTAGAACAGAACTTGAAAACATTTATATAGGCAAAGCAATGTTAGAGCAATGAAGCCATGTGCTATATTTTCAATGATAGGTTCTCATATATTATGTCAAGTAAAGACAAGACTTACAACTCAGAGATACAGACTGCATGTTCTACTTTATTATTTTTTTAAAGTTTGGTATTTGACTCCTGACTATGAAGTTGAAGTCTGGCAGTCTCGGCCTACACTTCTAGCAAGCTCCAGAGAACACTTGAAGAAATCTCAATAAACCATCTCAGCTAACCAAGAAAATCAATTATCTCTCCACAAAATGCCATTATCCTGGAGAGATTCAGAATTAGATATTATAAAGAATTAAATCAATACCATATGGGTATAATGGGTAATTGATTTTAACTGAAATCTAAGTTCATCAATAATACCAGAACACTTAAGAGAAATAAGGATTCAATACATCTATATGTTTAATAAACTAGGTTTATATAAAATTATGCCATTACTCACAAAGCTTTTGCTTTATTAGTTGACAACTGAGGTGCAGAAAACCAAATACAAATATTAAACTTAAATGCAGCTAAATTAGTCCAGGAAACAATTTAATCATAAATCTTGCCTAGAAGTAAATTTAAAATTTTGCTAAATTTATATTCAAAAGTCATAATAGCTAATTCCAGAATAAGTTACTGATTTTTGTGAGTAGCAACTTCTAAGCATCTCCCATAATCAGTATATGTATAATAATATTTATTTAAAGAGTTAAAAAGCTCTTTAAAAGTAATAATCCTTAAAAATTATCTGTAGGAACCAGCTTAACTTGGAGTTCATATTATGTGGATTCTATTTTGTGAGTAAGATAACTGGATCAAATATAAATAGACAAGTCTGCTTCAGCTTTTCCAATTTAAACTATCAATTGCAATGCTCTTGGGATTAAAAAGGAAAGGATTAAAGAAGGATACATCTTTTACCATGCTGTGATGACGTCTTAATTTAGAAGATAGGTTAACTAGAAAAATTAATATAATAATCAACTATGCCATTTGGAGAATGACTGAGACTATAGCTTAAAAAAAACTATGAAAATAATTAACTTTTAACTGCTTATAAATAATTGTATATGAATAATGTTATGAAACAAAATTTAACTCCTTCAAATCCTAACAGTACTGATCTTTCTCATTCTCATATACATAACACATGTGACCTAAGTCACCTTTTAGTTCTATTGATGTATAACACTAAAGACAGAAAGCTATGGATTTAGAAAGTCTTTATCTTAGTTTCTTTTGAATCTCTAATTATTATATCTTTATTTCCCTTTTGTCCTCTCCCATCTCATGTTCCATATTCAGAACTTAAAATTAGACCCTAAAATATATGTCCAGATTTTACATTCTTCTTACTCAAAAAATAGGCCTATAGCAATCCTAGATGATTTTAATAATATAAATTATGCTAGCCATCATTCAAATACTATGTTCTTGAATTCTGATATATTAGAATGTAGTTTTAAACTGTCTCCACCCACTTCCACTACATTCAACCCTCCACTTCCCCACCCCCAGATGAAGGTTAGGTTGAAAATGGATTTTGGAGATGAAATAAAGCCAGACATCAAATAACTTACTTGAAATCCATCTCTTACCTTCTGTACTTAACCCTGGACTTGATGTGAACTTGGCTACATCAACAATTTTTACAGCAAATTGCTGTCCAGTTTCTCTGTTGATACATCGTCGTACAACACTGAAGGGACCCCTAAGGGAAAAAAAGCCAAGTTTAATTTATTGATTTTCTTAAGCCCCCATTTTCCCTTCAACATTTTACTGATGTTTCATTATCTATTAAAGTCATAGTTTTTAAAATCAAATTTATGTATTTTGAACATATTTTATAATCCATTAGGTAAGCCATGCCTTATTTAAAATTATTAAACCAGAAAATTTGAAAATAAATTGCAATTTGAAATTATTTAAAAAATGAAATCTCAATAGTATTCCTATATTTAAGGGAATTAATCTTTATAATATCCTATACATATTATCAACACTTTTATGAATGAAATCTACCAGAGTAGAGTGCACAGTGATTTTATCTTTTGAAAAGAAATTTAAATTTTCTTTGATTCCTTTCTCTCATCTTACTCACTGCTTAGCTAATCTTCACTAATAAGTCTTATTAAATATCTCTCAATCTTGTCCACTTTTCTCCAGGTCTCATATACTAGTCTAAGCTATTATAGTCTGCTATTGGGACTACTGAAAAACTTAACTGTCCCATTCATTCTTGCAGTGATTTTTTAAAAAATGAAAATCTGGCCCTCCCTGGTGGCGCAGTGGGTTAAAGCACTGCACTAAGAAGCTGAAACCACTTCCGTATGAGTTCGATTCCCGCCTGCCCTGGAGGTGACCACATGGTGTGGCAGACCTCTCCTGACCCACCCGCTGCTCCCCTCAGCAGTGTACTTCATCGATCTGCCTGTTCTGCTCCCCACTCTGTCTCTGGTGAAGTCTTTCCCACCCCTGAGTCTCTGGCCTGTACCCCAGTTCTGTATGCACAAATAAATCTTAAAAAAAAGTAAAAAAAATGAAAATCTAATATAATGTCTCTGCTTAAAACCTTGGAGAGACAAAGGTATTTGCAATACACATTTTTATTCAATAACCAAAATACACAAATAATTCCTAAATATAATAAGAAAAAAGTATGCTCCAATAAAATCTGGGCAGAAGACTTTTGACAGTCTCCAATAACCTCTCCAGTATCACCTGAAATCTCAGAGAAATCCCTTTTCCTTCTCAAATTTAGAACTGCCACAGGAAATGAAGTCATTTCTACCAGGAGAGAACTAGTCACATCATTTGTGTGCCCAATCCTTTTCTCAATTTAAATTGGTGGTTCTCAATACTAGCCATAAACCTGAATCAACAATTGGTGACAAAACACCAATGCTTCTATCCATTTTACACACACATACATGGTTCTTCATTATTAATAGTTATCAAATAAATATCTGAATTATTGATAATCCAAAGATAGATTTATAACATTCAAGTCAACTACTAAATAATAATGAAGGTGATAGCAATTTACTATAGTGGTCTATTTGAAAACTAGTGTGGTTTAAGCCATTAAGTATACACACACATATATATACATGTATGTATTTTCTCCCTATTCAAGAATAAAACAAGATACCCTCATTGCTACAGATAAAAACAGTGTCTCTGGATACATATGGATAATCAGCAAAGAAAAGTTCTTCATTTATTCTAGGTCACTTGTGATACTACTTGTCTGAAAGTATATCTTTCTTCTTTCAACTATGGAACAAGCAAAAGAGAATGATCTAACACAGACTTAAACATTTTTCATTTAAAACATGGCAATCACCAGGACATCAACTAAATGATAACTTCAAATCTCCAAGCAACCTAACAAAGCTAAGCTGGAACGGAAAGGAAAGGCAACAATGTACCCCTAGAATTCTACTGAAGACCCTTTTGATAATCACTAATAACTGTTCAAAGATTTTCCTCTGAGATGACAATGTAACAAAGTGAAGGACTCCCACAAACCTATTCATTCTCAATATGCATGTCTTATTCATATCTTATTTGTGATTATTTATCTTGACATTAGGAAGTAATTTTAGGAAGTGCTTAATGTAATTGTTTTTCTTCTCCACACATAAACCCTTGGGACTTTACTGATACACACAAACTTGTTTATTGTGCTTCAATTCACCACATCTTTTTAGGAATTTCCTGTATATGGACTTATTCATCTTTAAGCTAGTCAGTCCTTTACTTATTTCTGCCTGAACAAAGGTGAGAAAGAAAGCATAGTTTTCCCCCCAAATGTTTCATTAATAGCAAAAATAAGAAAGTTAGGGAAAAGAAAATACCCCCACAGAAATGTTTGCTATTCTGGACAAAACTTTAATCAAATTCCCATCACAAAATTTAGGTTAATTTTATAATGTGAGGAAAAGAGAAAGAGTTTATCTAATAAAATACTGATGACCTGAAGGTAGGTCACAAGCAAAGCATTCCAAAGTTCTTTCCCTCACTGCCATTCACGGGATTAACAAAGGTGAGCACAATTTACCATACTACTTTGTTTTTTTTTTTTTTTTAATTATTTATTTTATTTATCCATACAGAACTGGGGTACAAGCCAGAGGTACAAGGGTGGTGAGACAGAGTAGGGAGCAGATCAGGCCCACTGACAAAATACACTGCTGAGGGGAGCAGAGGGTGGGCCAGGACAGGTCTGCAGCGCTGGGGCAGGTGGGGATGGAACTCATGTTGAAGTGGTAGTTTATTAGTGCTGTGCTTGAACCCACTGTGCCACGAGGGTGGGCCCAAACTACTATGTTTTTTGTTACTTAAACTACCAACCTGAATCTCTGTAGAAACTAATAAAATTTGAATGAGAATAGTGTCTGTAATTTTAGTAGTACTCAATTACAGTTATTGTTTGATCAGTTAAAGAGAGGTCGCTATGAGACAATCTCACTTGATTTCCCATCTTAAAAAGGAGGGGGTAAGGCCCTCGCTAGTTGTGCAATGGTTAAAACGCAGCATTATGTAGCTATCCATAGCCATTGCACATTGACAGGTAGAGCACTCCTGACCCGCCTGCAGCTCCCCTCAGCAGTGGATTTCAGTTGATCTGCCTGTTCTGCTCCCCACTCTGTCTCTGATGAATTCTCTCACCCTTGCATCTCTGGCCTGTATCCCAGTTCCTATATGCATAAGTAAATAAATATTTTCTTAAAAAGGAGGAGTAGACTAAGGTGTATACAAAGCATTTATTATATTGCACTTATTAATTAAACTTGAATAATTTAAGGAACAAGAAAAAATTCAGGAGCCCTAGGTTTCAGCCTGATCTCAACCTTTTTATGATTCTTGAAATTTCAACCTATAATTTTTTACACTGTGATAGTCAATTCTTGAGTATCTGGGGAAATACTGCTAGAACATCAACACAAATTACTTTCCCATATTTTCTGTAATGCTAGCCAGGGTATTACTAAAAATGGAATGAAAGATAGCTAATGGAATTCTTGATTTGAAGGAATATATGTTCTTTATTCTACTCTTGAAGAATACTAAATATCAATTGGAATTGTAGAAGATTCTACCTCTAGCAGGAGGCTTCTTTGCAGAATTCTATGTTTAAAAGCAAAAGGTCAATTAAACTAGAATATATTACAAGTGAATACTGTTATACATTGCTAAAGTTGGAAAAGAATGCAGCCGTGTCTCTATGAAGAAAAAATAATTTCTAGTTTCATTTATGTGAAAATAGGTTATATCTAGGAAATGAACAATTCTGATACTCAAAGTAAATACATTAAAAAAGAGACTAGAATTAAACAATATCATATTAGAATATATTGCTTGTTTGATGGATAATAGGATTGATTTACTTAGCATAATGCATTTATTTCCCTTCCCAAACTCTACTAAAATGATACCAGAGGAGTTCAAATTTTTCTATTCTCTCAGAACAAGGAAAGGGGTAACAGTAGTAATCTAATTTGGGAAGTAGAAAGCAGGTATAGAGTACAGATAACTGATTTGGCATACTTAGGGCAAGTTAAGAACCAAACTTATTCATGCGACAGAACCCTCAAGAAGCTCATGAGATGGTAGCACCAGCTAATTATGAGATGACAGGGGAAAAATTGCAGGGCTAGTTTTCAATGCTATGGAGAAGCAGTTTGAATCTTAGATTCCCCTCTTCTAGTCAGTGCTACTGCGTCATTGCTCTGTTCTCATTACTAACAGAGGTTCATTCTTTGGAGAGGGTAAAGCATTGGGTCTTAAAACTGAGGACATAGACTTTTAAAGGCTTAGGGACTTTATGGAAAGAAAAGGATTAAATAATCACATACATACTAAATGTAGACAGTTTCAGCCTCTTCACCTTCCTTCAACAAGGGCAATGTTAGAAGCCAGATCTTTACCCTTCATGCAGAAGAGAAAGGATTTTTTATTGAATATATAATCAGACCACAGAAGGAAAGTCCTACAGAGAATGATGAGAAGTTGGTCAA